GGATATATCGTATCGTGACCCCTCTGTTATGATATGTATCGTATCGCCAAATTCTTGCCAATACACAGCCCTAGTGCTTATAAGGCTGAGTTCACCTGAAACTCATCAGACTGAAGAAGTCTCTTGGAGGAGAGACGAAACGTTTCACTAAAGAAGAACCCATCCAGAGGACCTACTTATTTTTTTCTTTTTGATACTGACAAGGTTCAACATCAGACCCTCATCAGAGTATCTATGTCAAATTTAGTTTGGGCGGCTGTGGCAGAGTGGTTAGGCAGTCGTTCCTCTAATGCGAGAGTTGGTGGTTTGATTCCCTGCTATTCTGACACATGTCGAAGTGTCCCTGGGCAARACACTGARCCCCTCACTACTTCTGATGTGTGTTCCATCAWTGTATGAATGTGRTTTAAATTTTGAATAAAAAATTTACATATAGTAAAAAAGAAAAGACTCGGTGGACTGAAGATTGGCAGGGCGTCCTGAGGTGTCGYCAGTCGATAGAGGGCATCGTAAAACAAAACAGGGCATTGTAAAGATGCCTCAACGCTAGGGCYGCACAATATCAAGAAAACCTGTGATGCCTGATAACAGTGCTTAATATGGTGATGAAGATATGACTTGCGWTAAAAAATTATAATAAATATACATTGTTGATRTTTTTCTGCTCTGGGTTCAGAGCAAAAAACAACAACTAATATATAATYTCCATTACAACTTGATGGAATGATTCTGATTTGATATTGTTTCTCTGGTCCATTTTGTTTTTCAGACTGATGGTGATAAACCACATAAATGCAAACATTGGAGCCAATCATTTATTGCAATTTATGCATTTTTTGCGATATTCATATTGCAGTGGCTGTTATCGCGATAACTATAAATTCGCGATATATTGTGCAGCCCTACCCTCTGTCTAAATGCCTGATCTCTGACTTTGCCTGTCATTTTTCATTTGTTAAGCACTGCTACCCCCACCATTTCCCCTGGCTTGGTACTGACACAAGATCGTATTTTATATTTCGTATTATTTATTTCATCCATGTTTTAAGTGGTTAGGGAAAATGTGCCATTACATAGTTTGATAATATATTTGTGGCAGCTTCTAGATTTTATTCATTTATTATAAAWATATATTCTCCCACCACAATAATAACAGTCTTTATCTTGTGCTAAAGTTCAGTAAACAAATCAAATGAAGCTACAGTGTGTGTTTCTGTCATGGGGCACCTTAAGTAGGTAGAGTGAGTACAACAGTCATTTCAATGCCCTTGATGTTTTTTATATGACCATTGCATGTGGTCTCATCAGTACTGTCCCTCAGAGACTCACTTCAGCTCAGGGTTCTAGACCTGTCTACCGTTCATGATGGCGACAGTCAGGAAAAAGYGCATCCCATACAGGACATCCTGGCTAATACGGGACAGTTGGCAACCCTACCTCARTTTAGAAGGCAGCGGGTGTCTGTTCAATCCACTCAGATTCAGCCAGATGTACTTTCTGCTAATGTTTACTCACAGTGCTAACGCTGAGGTAGCGTTATACTCTTTGGGAGTCGAGGAGCCTAATGACTGCCTGACTGCTGCCAACTAGTGGCCAGAGGCTAAATTACAACACAAGAATGAAYGGATGGCCTGACATTAACCTTRATTAAAAATCAATACAAGAGCTAGAGATACAGTATTATCGATGGGGGCGGCTGTAGTGTAGTGGTAGAGCAGCTGACTTGGGACCAGAAAGTCACAGGTTTGGYTCTCCGCTATGCCCACATGTCATGTTGTCCTTGAGCAAGACACCTGAAGCCTGGTTTATAGTTGACGCATCGTGTCGGGTGCGCACACCTAAAATGAWGCAATTGCACCAGCCCGCCCCTGCGCGTGGCCCCATGCGGTGTCTCGGTACATGGTCGTGCACCTCCGAAATTTTGAAACTTTGTAAAGACCGTGTGCTGCGCACAATTCAAACAGCTTGTTTGTTTTTCATGCTTTTGCTCTCCTATTTGCAACATTTCACAAGTGATAAAGTGTACTTCCACGTGCCCTTTTGGCAAAATCTACAACGTAAGCACCAAGTATAAACGCCTCCAATGCTGACGAGGGTGCGCGCGACCTGAGTGAGTACCAAAGCGCGACTATAGCTGAGCCTTAACCCCCAACTGCTCCCCGCTGCTCCACTTAGGTGTTTCTCATGTGTGAATCTCACAAATTTCATCCTTGCATGGGAACATACATTGATGACAAATAAAGCAACTTTACCTATTAGGAAATGAAATATTGAGATATTTCAGTGTATCAATACTTTGGTACACACCTAATTTTAATTGAATATGCTTTTCTATGTATTATTAGGTGTTGGTTTTCTAAGGGTTGTTATATATTTATTTAAGCNCTTTGGTACACACCTAATTTTAATTGAATATGCTTTTCTATGTATTATTAGGTGTTGGTTTTCTAAGGGTTGTTATATATTTATTTAAGCTAAGCAATTGCTATTAATTGTTCAAAGAAAAATACATGTTGACTAAAAAAATCAGTACTGTATATTTCTAAAAGACATTATTGTCCACATAAGAGCTCAAACTTACTGACCTCTATTCTTGACCAAGTAAAGAAACAAAAAAGACCATGATAATCTTTTTA